CCCCGCCCAATTCTCCCGCTTTCCATTACCCCGCCCCATTCTCCCTCCTTCCATCACCCCGCCCCATTCTCCCGCTTTCTATCAACCCACCCCATTCTCCCGCTTTCCATCACCCCGCCCCATTCTCCCGCTTTACATCACCCCGCCCCATTCTCCCGCTTTTTATCACCCGCCCCATTCTCCCGCTTTCCATCACCCGCCCCATTCTCCCGCTTTCTATCAACCCACCCCATTGCCATGTTCCCCCCGTGCGACGGCATGAACACATGGCTGCTCGCACAAATAATGAATTTCAGCGCTGCTAGCACGTTCGCCTCAAATCACACAACAATTGACACACCATACCTGAATGACATGGGCCATGTTCCCCCCGTGCGACGGCATGAACACATGGCTGCTCGCACAAATAATGAATTTCAGCGCTGCCAGCACGTTCGCCTCAAATCACACAACAATTCACACACCATACCTGAATGACATGGGCCATGTTCCCCCCGTGCGACGGCATGAACACATGGCTGCTCGCACAAATAATGAATTTCAGCGCTGCCAGCACGTTCGCCTCAAATCACACAACAATTCACACACCATACCTGAATGACATGGGCCATGTTCCCCCCGTGCGACGGCATGAACACATTGCTGCCCGCACAGAGGATGAAGTCCAGAGCAGCCAGCATGTTGGCCTGCCGTGCAAACACCTCCAGCTCCCCCGGCAGCGCGAGGCTCTCCTTGCTGTGCACCACAGAGAAGGACATCCAGAGGGGTGCCAATGCCAGCTGTGCGCCTCCCATTGGCTCCGCCCCCGCCCAGAACACCCGCATGCGATTGGTTGCTCCGAACGACTTGAGAAGACTGGTGTGAGAAGGGAGAGGAGAGGAGGGGAGTGAAGTGGGGAGAAGTGAAGAAGGGAGAGGAGAGGAGGGGAGTGAAATGGGGAGAAGTGAAGTTGGGGGGAGTGGGCATGGAAGCGTATGAGAGAGGGGAGGGAGGAGAGAAGGTTGGGGTGGGGAAGTCTGGGGAGAAGCACCACACCACATCGCAACTCACCACAGAACACTGCAACTCACTGCACCACACAGTCCGCACCAAACCTCACCATACCTCACCGCGACTCACCGCGCCGCACCTCACCGCAACACACCGCAACTACCGCACCGCACCACACCACGACTCACCGCACGATGACGTCAGCAGTCAAAGGGCAAAGCCCTGCTGCAAATCTCTCCTCAGCGGTCAGATTCAGCCGCCCTGTCAGCAGGTCTGGCCGACCCACCCTCTCCCGATCCACCGCCACATCTAGCTCCGGCCCGAGCCTCGGGTAGCATCCGGTCCGGATCCACACATCTGGCTCCAGCCGTAGATGCAGCGCAATGAACGGCCCAGATGCAGCCATCCGGGACACGAGCTTCTGACCGAGGGCCAGGATTGGCGGGATGAACCGCAGGGCGTGAAATTCGACCTTGCAGCGGAGCTTCTGGAGTTCCCGAGGGAGGTCGGGCGTTATGGCCTGATCGAGGCCTCTTATAAGGAGTACGTGCTGCCGGCGAAGCTGGTGGGTACAAAGGGTTAGGAGGTGTTGGTAAAGATATTTTGAGGAACGAGTTTGGACGGGAGTAACGGTGGGTGTAATGGGGTGGAAGTGGTGCGTGGAAGCCTAAATAGAGTGGTGCAATTAACCATGAAAGTGTGTGTAGCGTAGCGACACTCACAGGTGGAAGGAGGTGTGAAATGATCCATTCCGGTGTGGAGCCGGTGGGAGGAAGCTTCTCATCAGGTGCGGCCCGCAGGTAGTGGGGCGGCAGGGTTGTTACCACCCTCATCTCGCTCCGTAACACCCGCTGGAAGTGAGGCACGTCAAAGATCTCTGAGAACTCACTGTTGGGACGTGGGCAGGCGAGGGAAAGGGATAATAGGGGAGAGCAGCGAAACAGAACAGAGGGTGGTTACCACCCTTACTTCACTCCATAATACCTGCTGAGAGTGAGGCACGGCAAATTTATAGGCAAACGCATTGTACAAATGAGCAAACTTTGGTATAGGGGAACGTGATTGGATTGGAATGCAGAAGGGGTAAGGGAAAGAAGCAGCTGGTTACAACCCTTGCCTTGTTGCGAAACATTCAATAAGAGTGAGCAAAGTTGCTCTGAATGTAAAAAGGAACGGCTGGAAAAAACATATTCACTATATATCGCTCTGCTTGAGTCCTTTTTACCGTCACCACTTCCCAACCCCCCCCACATCGCTTCCTGCCCACCCCTTCCCCCCTCTCTCACCTCCTGTCGTGCCAGATGTTGTTTTCTTGCAGCACCGGAACCACCAGCACGGCCCTGAGAATGCGAGCAATGACCACCGCGTTCCCTATCTGCAGCCGCATCTGGTTAAGTCCCCCTGTCACCACGGCCATCAGATACCGCCCTCGGTTCAAAGCCTCTATGGAGTGGTTCCGGTAGGTGCGGGAGTGGCGCAGACACGGCCTCAGACCCAGGGACGGAGGCTGGGAGGGCAGGTGTATGGGTTGGAGGGAGATGCGGAGGGGAGAAGGGAAGTTGCGGGGTTTAGGAGACAGCAAGAGTGGAAGTGGATTCAGAGCAAGAGGGAAATTGGCATCAATCCCCTCACCTGTTCCCACAGCCGTCTCTCCTTCTCACTCCACACTCCCCCACTCCCCTCCTCCAGAGGCGGCAGCCCATCCTCCTCCAAGACTCTCCTCTCCTCCTTCTCCTCCTCACTCTCCCCCTCCAAATCCTCCTCTCTCACACTCTCCAAACCCACCTCCTCTCCCCCTCCACCAAACCCCCACTTCCCCCCATAGTCATCCGCTCCCCAGACCTCCCCCCCAGGGCCGTGGAAACTACCACCACTGCTTATCCGTTCAGCGTATTCACCCCCCTCCCCCTCTCCTCCCCCTCCTCCTGTCCCCTCTCCTCTCACTCTATGCCGCGCCTCCTCCTCATGCTGCTTCCGCAGCTTCTCGTTTGGCAATCGCCGCTTCTTCTTCCCTCTCCCTCTCCCTTTCTTCCCCCTTTTCTTCCCCACATAACCCCCCCCTTCCGACTCCACTTCGTGCTCTCCTTCTCCCCATTCCCGTAGCTCTCCGCCTCCCCCCTTCTCTCTCCGTCTTCTTGCCACGTCGATCCATTTTTCTCCTATCCTACTCTCTCCTTCGTCTCCTTCCTCCTCATACTCATCGTCCTCTGAGCCTGATCGCGACTTAAATTCGCCATCCACCCAGTCATACACCCGATCCTCTTCCTCAGGTTCGGCCTTGGCTTTCCCGCCCAAGTCTGAGGAGGAGGTTCGGAGGCCAGGAAAGGTGTCCTTATCTTCCAAACCTCGTCTGAAATTAGGTCTGGTGGGGCGGCATGACAAGGCACGGATTGACAAGACACGGCATGGAATGGAATGAAATGGCATGACATAGTATGAGATGGCACAGGAGTAAGTGGAAAGGAATCATCGCCTGGTGTAGAGGAATGGAATGGCAAGAGAAGAAAAAGAATTGCATGGCATTGCATGATGTGGAAACGAAATGACATGGAAAGGAACATAATGGAATGACACGGAACGTTGGGTACACGCTTTTGAGAAGGACAAAAGTTAGATTTGACCTTGAGATGATGCTAAAGACAATGGCGCCGAGCAAGACGAGCAGAGCTGTTCTTGACCTGGTGATTTCTGAGTTGACTCGAACGGTACCGCGAAGGACAACAGGCTAAAACGAGCAGAGCTGAACCTGATATGATCCTGACCTTGGAATGATGTTAAAGGCAAAGGCGCAGAGGAGCACGAGCAGCAGCACGCGCTCGAGAGTGCAGTATGAGGCGAAGAACGACCGCCTGTCCGCGAAGTGCCTGCGAAGGAGTGTAACCATGTTGATGAATGATACAATGACAACAAGGTTGATGTATGTAACAATGTTGTCTGACTGACAAGATGCGAATAGTAATGACGTGCGTAACACGTGGGTTTTGCTAGTCTTAAACACGAACAATAATGTGGTTGTCGAGCACGCGAGACCCGCATCCGCATATTTCTAAAAGACGCACCTTCGGTACGTTTTGGACCGCATCGAATAAACGGCAATGAAGAACTACCTGAAATATCATGCAAGTTCATGACTGACGATAAATAAATTGATGCACCGTGACGAATCTTCACTCACCGGCTATGACGCCTACCACCCTTGGACCGCATGGGATGAACTACAGTAGCAGAGCGAAACTAGTTAACGAAGTTTGAGAAGGCAAGGACGACTGTAACCCCTTAAGCACGGTAGTGTGCCGTCTCGTATGGTTTAAGGCGCATTGGCGGCCGCTCACTAAGCCAGCTAGAGAAACTCCAAAAATACTCCTGGCTAGCAGTTAATTCAACTAACGAATGTATTTGACTCTGAACAGCTTGAATGCACGTTGTCAAAAGTTAAGTTAACTACTACAAACTATCAGCAACGGGACGGCAACATATCTTATTTGCAACTATTATCGCGCACACGGGACCCTCCTACACACAACACTCTACGCGTTTGACAAGTGATGGAATAAGCTCACGACCGCTACTCACAAAGGTCCCACATGGGTAAGGCGACACCCTCACACTACAATAGCGTGAAATACTGAGATGCTGAAGCTGCCATAATAGCGTCAGGATACTATTGGAAGCTAAGTGATACAAGGTACAGTTTTCAGGCACAATCTGTCATTCCATGCAAGCCGTGAAGCAACCAGGCTGAAGCGTCCACGCAATTGGAAGCCAGCAATGGACTTTCACTTCGGTGAGTGGTTGAACCCGAAGGAAAACAAATTCAGTCGAAGCTTGAGTTGAAAGCGCAGATCGCGTTTGCGCGGGAATCTGAAAGTGAGGGGCTTCCTCGACAATGTCAGAGATCCGCGCGATAGCGAGAGGCGGTAAAACATTTGATGAGGACTAAAAATCAAGCAGAGCGGAAATCTATAGAAATGAAAAGTCAACTCAATTCTACAAAGAATTTCAAGCTAGTGTTAAGAGAAGATAACGCCCTCACCCTCCACCACTTCGCCTACAAGCACGGCTGATGGGTTGCTCTCTATAATGCGCTTAGAAGCCTCCGCATCCACTATAAGCATCATGCCAATCCCAAGGTTGAAAACACGGCGCATCTCATCTTCAGCAATATTGCCAGCCTGCAGGAAAGCAGCAAAAGAACGAAGTAGCACACAATACTGACAGATTAACAGGATAATAAATATTTCTGTACAAAACTTACTACAAAAGAGATCAGAACTCTCATTCTGCAAAATATATACAAGGAAAAAACTACAGCGAAGCAGAGGATACAACACAGAGCACAGCAACACTTCACCTTTCTGAGCCACTTGAAAATTGGAGGCTCTTCCCACGCAGTCATATCCGCTTTTGCAGCCAACCCTTCAGGGAAGATTCTGGGAATGTTCTCAGTGAAGCCTCCCCCAGTAATGTGCGCGATGCCATGCACACCTCCCCCCTTTATAATGTCCAACACCTGCCGCACGTATATCACGGTAGGCTCTAGCAGGGCGCCCCCTATAGTCACTCCCGCAGGGGCACCTGGGAGGGGGTCTGAGAGGGAAGCGCCACTGGCGTCCACCACTCTGGAAGGGGCGAACAGGTAAGGGCGGAGGGGAGAGAGGAGAGAGAGTGCATTGAATGACTCTGGGGGAAAACAGAGGGCGCTTGGGAGAAGGAGGTTTGATCTGAGAGTGCTTTTGAGTCGACTCAGAAGCGAACAAAATCACTCTGGGGGAGAACAGGGGCGCTTGGGAGAAGGGGGTTTGATCTGAGAGTGCTTTTGAGTCGACTCAAAAGCGAACAAAATCACTCTGGGGGAGGACAGGGGCGCTTGGGAGAAGGGGGTTTGATCTGAGAGTGCTTTTGAGTCGACTCAAAAACGAACAAAATCACTCTGGGGGAGAACAGGGGCGCTTGGGAGAAGGGGGTTTGATCTGAGAGTGCTTTTGAGTCGACTCAAAAGCGAACAAAATCACTCTGGGGGAGAACAGGGGCGCTTGGGAGAAGGGGGTTTGATCTGAGAGTGCGTTTGAGTCGACTCAAAAGCGAACAAAAACACTCTGGGAGAGAACAGGGGCGCTTGGGAGAAGGGGGTTTGATCTGAGAGTGCTTTTGAGTCGACTCAAAAGCGAACAAAATCACTCTGGGGGAGAACAGGGGCGCTTGGGCGAAGGGGGTTTGATCTGAGAGTGCTTTTGAGTCGACTCAAAAGCGAACAAAATCACTCTGGGGGAGAACAGGGGCGCTTGGGAGAAGGGGGTTTGATCTGAGAGTGCTTTTGAGTCGACTCAAAAGCGAACAAAATCACTCTGGGGGAGAACAGGGGCGCTTGGGCGAAGGGGGTTTGATCTGAGAGTGCTTTTGAGTCGACTCAAAAGCGAACAAAATCACTCTGGGGGAGAACAGGGGCGCTTGGGAGAAGGAGGTTTGATCTGAGAGTGCTTTTGAGTCGACTCAAAAGCGAACAAAATCACTCTGGGGGAGAACAGGGGCGCTTGGGAGAAGGGGGTTTGATCTGAGAGTGCTTTTGAGTCGACTCAAAAGCGAACAAAATCACTCTGGGGGAGAACAGGGGCGCTTGGGCGAAGGGGGTTTGATCTGAGAGTGCTTTTGAGTCGACTCAAAAGCGAACAAAATCACTCTGGGGGAGAACAGGGGCGCTTGGGAGAAGGGGGTTTGATCTGAGAGTGCTTTTGAGTCGACTCAAAAGCGAACAAAATCACTCTGGGGGAGAACAGGGGCGCTTGGGAGAAGGGGGTTTGATCTGAGAGTGCTTTTGAGTCGACTCAAAAGCGAACAAAATCACTCTGGGGGAGAACAGGGGCGCTTGGGAGAAGGGGGTTTGATCTGAGAGTGCTTTTGAGTCGACTCAAAAGCGAACAAAATCACTCTGGGGGAGAACAGGGGCGCTTGGGAGAAGGGTGTTTGAGAGTGAAGCGCCACTCCCGACCACCACTCTGGTCTGACTTTTGAGACGTCTCAAAACTCTGGTCTGGAGGTGGGGGTGTAGGGAAAAACCATTCGAGCCTTGAGACGTCCTTTGAGTCGCCTTGCATCACGTTTACGAGTCTACTCATCAACCATACATACAACTACATGCCTTTCTCTCCCCACCTGTGTGCCACACAACCACACAACCAGACAAGCACAAAACTGCAACAACCACACAACCACACGACATAACCTTCGTCCCACCTGCGTGCGAGGGAAAATCCGTTAGAGTGAAGGCCCGAGGACGGCAAACCGATGATCTTATCGCCCTTCCTTATACCGGATCCGTCTATAAGCTCTGCTTTCTTCACTGCTCCCACTGCAAACCCGCTCAGATCGTACTCCTTGTCAGCATAAAATCCGGGCATTTCTGCCGTCTGATTGGTGGAAAAAACAGGGGACGAAATGGATAGAAGATTCAGTGAATCTTCACAGGCCCCACTGCGAACCCGCTCAGATCGTACTCCTTGTCAGCATAGAACCCAGGCATTTCCGCCGTCTGATTGGTTGAAGAAAAGGAGGAGAAGTGGGAAGAAGATTCTGAAAAGATTCTGAAAAGATTCTGAAAAGATTCTGAAAAGATTCTGAAAAGATTCTGAAAAGATTCTGAAAAGATTCTGAAAAGATTCTGAAAAAAATCTGGAAAGTTTATGGGAATCCTACTGCCGGGGCACTTGGCAGTTGGATTGAGCAGCTGGTTGCAGAATCCAATCAGCCAGTAGGACTTGCCAGTGCCGCAACACAAACACACACCTCACACACTCTCCCCCCTAACATCCCCCCCTTGCCAAGCAGACAAGGGGGTGCCCTCAAGGGGCAGTAGCACTTGTTGACTTTTGAGTTGACTCAAAAGAGTTGACTTTTGACTTTTGAGTCGACTCAAAAGTCAACTCACACACTCACCCCCCTAACATCCCCCCCTTGCCAAGCAGACAAGGGGCTGCCCTCAAGGGGAAGTAGCACTTGCCACGATATTATCACTCCTCCCTCCCTCCCTCCCACCCTCACCCCCCACACCCGGCCCCCTCTTCTGCATCTCCCACGCACCTCTCCCCACCCCCCCTTGCCCTCTCCCACCTGGCCCAACCGCACCTCTCCCACTGGCAACAGCGCCAGCAGTGCCACCACGCCCACCCTCACCCCCCACACCCGCCCCCCTCTTCTGCATCTCCCACGCACCTCCCCTCCCAGCAGCACACAGTCTGACTGTTTGCACCCGTCCACGATGCCTTTGATGACCTGATGGGGTGGTGGGGGTGGCAAGGAGATGACAGAAAGGAGAGAAGGGAGGTTACCACATGTGTACTGCATACACACACAGGTGCACCATAAGCAGCAGCACACAGTCTCACCTGTGTGCATACGCACACAGTCTCACTGCTTGCATCCGTTCACAATTCCCTTGATGACCTGATGGTGGGGGCGATGGGGGCGATGGGGGTGATGGGGGTGATGGGGGTGATGGGGGTGATGGCAAGGAGTGGAGAGTGGTAAGCACATGTGCACGTAGCAGCAGCAGCACACAGTCTCACTGCTTGCATTCGTCCACGATTCCCTTGATGACCTGATGTGGGTGATGGGGGTGGCGGAGATGGCAAGGATAGGAGGGAGGATAGCACATGTGCACTGCATATTCACACAAGTGCATCAGCATGACCAGCAGCAGCAGCAGCAACACAGTCAGACTGCTTGCACCCATGCACGATTCCCTTGATAACCTGATGTGGTGGTGGGGGTGGCAAGAAGATGACAGAAAGGAGAGAAGGGAGGTTACCACATGTGTACTGCATACGCACACAGGTGCACCATCAGCAGCAGCACACAGTCTCACTGCTTGCACCCATGCACGATTCCCTTGATAACCTGTTGACTTTTGAGTCGACTCAAAAGGCAACACAGTCAGACTGCTTGCACCCATGCACGATTCCCTTGATGACCTGATGGGGGTGGTGGGGGGGGAATTGGTGGTGGGGGTGGTGGGGGTGGTGGGGTTGGGAAGATAAAGTTGATCGTGGAATGGAAAGGTGGAAGGTTATGACATGTGTACTGAACATTCATACAAGTGCACCATCAGCAGCAGCCGCGCACAGTCTCACTGCTTGCACCCGTCCACAATACCCTTGATGACCTGATGGGGTGATGGGGGTGGCAGAAGGGAGGTTAACACATGTGTCCTGCATATACACACCACACCACACAAGTAGCAGCAGCAGCATCAGCATAAGCAGCACGCAGTGATGTGGTGGAGGGAGGTTATCAAACCGGTGCTGCTACTTGTGTGATGTGGTGGAGGGAGGTGGTGGAGGGAGGTGGTGGAGGGAGGTGGTGGAGGGAGGTTATCAAACCGGTACCTCCAACTTGCTTGAGGCAAGTAATCGAGCAAGAAGAGAGGAGCGTGGCTACATCACGCCTGCTACAGCCCATTTCAGCCGTTCAGCACCGCACAACATCGCACACCATCTCTGTGTCCCACTCACCTGCCCTGCCTGGTACACCTCCAGCTTGCTGGAATCGAAGTAGTCAAGGAAGATGAGAGGAGTCAGGCTACCTCACTTCTGCTACAAATCCTCCACACCTTACAACACCACACAGAACCAAGCAGCACCACTGTGAATCGCACCTGCTTGGCCTGGTCCACCTCCAGCTTGTGGAAGTAAAAAGTAGTCTACCTCACGCTTGCTACAACCCTAAGAAGAGAGGGCGAGAGTGGCCACCTCACGCTTGCTACAACCCTTTCAAACCCTTCAGCACCGCACAGCACTGGAAAGAACCACACAGAACCATGCAGCACCACTCTGCACCGCCCCTGCTCGGCCTGGTCGACCTCCAGCTTGCTGGAAGCGAAGTAATCGAGGAAGAAGGGCCGAGTCAGGCTACCACACGCCTGCTACAATTCCTCTACACCCTTCAGCACCGCACAGAACCACACAGCACCACACAGCACCACTCTGCATCGCACGCACCTGCTCGGCCTGGTCGACCTCGAGCTTGCTGGAGGCAAAGTAGTCGAGGAAGAAGAGAGGACGAGCGCCTGACGTGATGATGTCGTTGACACTCATCGCCACCTGGTTGGGTGGGGTGTGGTGTGGTGGGGTGGGGTGAGGTGGGATGAGCGGGAGCAGAGGAAGAGAGGGCGAGTGCCTGACGTGATGATGTCCATTGCCACCTGATTGGGTGGGGTGGGATGCGGTGGGGTGTGTGGAGCGGCGATTTGGGAGTAGCACCGGGCGTGATGTTGTCGTTGACGCTCATGCACGTCAAGGCGGTCAACGCAGTCAACGCCAGTCAACAGCAGTCAGCAGCAGCCACTCACCAGGTCGATGCCAATGGTGTCGTGCTTGTCCATCGCGAAGGCCAGCTTCAGCTTCGTGCCCACCCCGTCCGTACCCGCTACAAGGTAGTGGTCCCCTGAAACAGTGAAAAAGTAATCCGCATATATAAACTAGGCATATCGCTATTGCGATCAGATTCTAAACCAAAAACAAAAACGGCGAAAGGACCACAATGCAAGCGTTCTATCGGATATCGGATCTCACCAAACGGGTACAGCCCGCCGAATCCGCCGATGCCAGGTGTCATCTTGGCGATGCGCCGCACCAGCTCAGCACCCGCATCGATATCCACGCCCGCGTCCTTGTACGTCATCCCGCCCTGCGCCGCACTTCCCGCCGCATCTCCCGCCGCACCCTCCGCTCCCGCAGCAGCAGACGCGCGGATCGGGAGGCTTGCGCGCCGCGACGCCGCTGCTGATCGGGATGACGTCAGCAACAGGGGGGTGGGTTTCCATGCGGACGGAATGGTACGTCCCCCGCGCAGGCGCAAGTGCGCGGGTTCCGCGGAAACGCTCAGGCGCGCGGAGGCCGGGGCAGCGGCGGAAAGGCCTAACGCGGACATACTGGCGGACGGATATGCGCGGGGCGGCGGGGAGAAACTAAGGCCCGCGGGTGGGTACTGTGGGTATACCAATGTGCCACGCTACAAGGTGTTCAGAACACGCAGGACTTTTTAACGCCGATCCCGGAATGCAGGCTCCCAGCTTCCACGAGCTCCGACAGAAACGAAAACTAAGAGTCGGGGTAGAAAGAAATAGGTAACTATGTCGAGAGCTGGCTGTGCGAGTCTGCACTGCACCAGTTCCACCCAGATCAGTTTTCCGCCGTTCCAATGGTGCACGGAAAACCAGGGGAAGATTTGGGGTTTTTGTCTTCGTTTGAGAGTAATTTCAGCCGAGCAGGAGATGCAAAATGCTAATATTGGTTGTAGGAGATGCAGTAAAACGGAGTTAGAATTTCGTGAAAAATACGAATAATGAAAATGAATCAAACGATTAACTTTTTAATATCAAACGGAATGATGAGGGAAACTGGAGAGGAAGTGTGTGCTCAATACATCACAGATCGATTTAGAATATGTTTATAGACCTAGCATCTTTACAGTGTAGATATTCCCATGCTAGCTTGTTATGTTGAGTTGGTCGGTCACTGCAATCCAGCGCACCTACGATGAAACCATCTGCGATGGACAACAGTCGCCTGAGCGTCGCCTCCCCCTGGTTCCTGCACCAGAAAGCATTTGAACGACGTCGTTCACACAGCACATCGTCGGCTCAAGCCGCAAGGGAGGTAATAAAACGCTCGAATTGTGTCGGCTATATTGTCGCATGCGTCGCGGCCGAACTGGGAGACAGTTGATAGCAAGCATATAAGCGTCGCAAGTGCGACCCTCTTTTATCGCCAATTCCAGTTCAACTCTCTTCGATTCCAACATCCTCTACGCTTCTGCGACGATTCAACCAGTCTTCAGCGACCAAACGAAGCTTTTTGTGCTATGGCTATCCCGATCTTTCGCTCAACCCTGATCTTCGTCGTTCTCGCTGGATGTGCGATTTTCGCCTCTGCTGTGTCGCCCGTGCCTCTCTCGCCGTTTGACGAAGCCGTTCAGAAGCTGAACAACTCGGGTTACACCAGCTTCGTCTCCCTCGTCAACGCTTATGGTTGGGCCCTCTCACCTCCATTTTCGATTTCACCGTTTTTCTGAAAACCTTCTCAACTGCATATCCTCATTCTCCCTCATTTCGTAATCTGCGCTGCGCAGCTAATTTCGCGCATTTTCCGAGCTATTCATATCCCCTAATATGTTCCGTTCCCTTCCGGCCCTTCCTTCCCCATCGCAGGCAAGATGAAGCAGGTCAAGGCGGCCCTTTCCAAGCCCCTCACCATGCTCGTCCCCAGCAACGCGGCCATCGCCAAGGTCAAGATAACGAGTTACTCAACAGCGCAGCTCTCGACGCTCGTCATGTTCAACGCCATCAAAGGCGTTATGCCCTTCCAGAAGCTGCGAAGCCTCGCGAAAAACTCTACGCTCGCGACGCTCTCCACGGACCTCAAGTCCAAGAAGTCGCTGATGCTGACGAAGCTCTCCCCGCTCAATGCGCGTTGGGTGGCGATGCAGGGCAAGCCCGGGAGCAAGCTGATGATCACTAAGGGCGACTTTTACCTAAAAGTTGGGAAGCTGGTCGTGCACACGACTGATGCGATTGTGTTCCCCGCTGGAATGAAGTGACGCGACCGTGGAAAAAGCGGGTCATATGGTGGTTAGATATTATTTGGGCATTTCTGGATCAGGGTGCTGAAGCAATCGGCGCAAATAATGGGTTAGTGTCCATTTGGATGAGGCAGGAATGGGTACTATTACTCACCAGTGATTGGGGAATAGCGTTATTCCGTGATATTATGCATTTGGACAGTTGAGTTCCTACATAAATATGTTTGTTACTTTTTACGTATGTGCGCTTGAACAGTTGTATTCTTTGGGTACAGTATTTTGAGAGTCCAATATCATGGAGACGAGGTTTGCACTATCGATACTCAGGGAGATTTGTTGGGTGGTGCAAGCCTCTCTTCGAGGTTCGTTTTGCTGGTCAGGTTTGAGGCGAAGGCCTGGGCCGGAAGCTAGGAGGTAAATTTTGAAAAGCGGAGGTTCGGGTGAACAGTATTGTACGCGAGGCTTGAGTGTCGCGAAGTAAGAATGTGTAAAACGTTTTATGTCCTCCGTGTCGTACATCATTTCGTCGTCGCTGCGGTCTATTCTGTTATGCATGCGAACTTCCTGTCGCCGTTCCATACGGCGTCGCTGGATGCATTGACGTAGCACTTTGTCATTTTTCGCAGAGTTATGAGGCACTAGCGCACTTGTGCACTGAAAATCGTTAGACTCACTTGCTGTTACCGCCTCATACGCTAAAGACGTGAACAAGACGTGCGGTTCGTGCATCTTAGTAAGTCGTATTCAGCCGGCGACGCTTGCACATTGGCGACTCTGTGCGACAGGCGGATTCTATCGCTCAAGTCGCCATGCGACTGGTGAAGCCGTCGTGGGTGTCGCACGGTGGTCAGGCGATTTTCGCCATCCACGTGCATCCAGATGGGACAAGATTCGCGACTGGCGGGGGTGACCACAAGGTGAGCGCGTGGGAGAATACGAGGGTTACAGAGAGGTGGAAGGGGGTTACAGGGAAAGGAGGGGGGTGCAGAGAGTGGCCATTACCAGGAGGGGCTCAGGAAAAGGACAAGATTCGCCACTGGCGAGGGTGACCACAAGGTGAGCGAGAGGGTATACGAGGGTTACAGAGAGGTGGAGGGAGGTACAGGGAGGGAGCGGGGATAGAGGAGGGTACATAGAGAGGAAAAAAGGGGAATACAAGGAGGGGGAGGGGGGTACCTGATTTGAGAGAGGGGGGGTACAGGTAGGGAGGGAGCGGGGATAAAGGAGGGTACATGGAGAAAAAAAAAAGGGGGGGGGGGGGGAAGGAGGGGGAAGGGGGGTAACTGATTTGAGAGAGGGGGGGTACAGGTAGGGCACAGGAACACGTGTTTGAAGAAGTGTTTTGAGACGTCTCAAAACACTTCTTCAAACACGTACAGGTAGGGCACGGCACAGGAATGGAACAAGATTCGCCACTCTCCCGTACCGATACCCTCTTGCTTTCTCATCCCTCTCCCCTTCCCTTCCCCCTCACAGGCCGTCATCTGGACTTTCCCTCCACTGCTCTCCCCTGAGGCTGAGTCCGATCCCTCGCTTGCCTTGGTACCCCTATCCTCCCCCTCCCAATCCCTTTACAGGCCGTCATCTGGACTTTCCCTCCACTGCTCTCCCCTGAGGCTGAGTCCGATCCCTCGCTTGCCTTGGTACCCCTATCCTCCCCCTCCCAATCCCTTTACAGGCCGTCATCTGGACTTTCCCTCCACTGCTCCCCCCTGAGGTTGAGTCCGATCCCTCGCTTGCCTTGGTGCCCCTATCCTCCCCCTCCCCCTCCCTTCACAGGCCGTCATCTGGAGCCTCGCTCCTTTGCTCTCTCCTGAGGCCGAGTCCGATGCTGCACTGCCGTCTCGCCTCGCCACTCTGTGCGACCATTTTGGGGCGGTCAGCTCTGTCAGGTGGGTTAGGTGTGGGAAGGAGTGGGAAGGAGTGGGAAGGAGTGGGAAGGAGTGGGAAGGAGTGGGAAGGAGTGGGGAAGAGGGCAAAGGGGAGGAAATTAGTGAGGAAGAAAGACTCTGCCTTCCCGCCTCGCCACTCTCTGCGACCATTTCGGGGCGGTCAGCTCTGTCAGGTGGGCTGGGAGTGGGAAGGAGTGGGAAGGAGTGAAAAGGTGTGGTGTAGGCGAAGGGTTAGGAAGAAAGGTGCACGAGAGTGGGCTGTCCTCCCACCTCGCCACTCTGTGCGACCATTTCGGGGCGGTCAGCTCTGTCAGGTGGGCTGAGAGTGGGAGGGAGGGAGTGGGAGGGAGTGAAAAGGTGTAATGTAGGCGAAGGGTTAGGAAGAAAGGTAAATAGGAGTGTGCTGCCCTCCCGCCTCGCCACTCTGTGGGACCATTTCGGGGCGGTCAGCTCTGTCAGGTGGGCTGAGAGTGGGAGGGAGGGAGTGGGAGGGAGTGAAAAGGTGTAATGTAGGCGAAGGGTTAGGAAGAAAGGTAAATAGGAGTGTGCTGCCCTCCCGCCTCGCCACTCTGTGGGACCATTTCGGGGCGGTCAGCTCTGTCAGGTGGGCTGAGAGTGGGAGGGAGGGAGTGGGAGGGAGTGAAAAGGTGTAATGTAGGCGAAGGGTTAGGAAGAAAGGTAAATAGGAGTGTGCTGCCCTCCCGCCTCGCCACTCTCTGCGACCATTTCGGGGCGGTCAGCTCTGTCAGGTGGGCTGAGAGTGGGACGGAGGGAGTGGGAGGGAGTGAAAAGGTGTAATGTAGGCGAAGGGTTAGGAAGAAAGGTAAATAGGAGTGTGCTGCCCTCCCGCCTCGCCACTCTCTGCGACCATTTCGGGGCGGTCAGCTCTGTCAGGTGGGCGGGGAGTGCGAAGGGAGGGGAAGGGAGTTGGAGGGGGTTGGCGGGAGTAAGAGTGGAGAGGTAGGGTGGGCTATCGCCTTCCCGCCTCGCCACTCTCTGCGACCATTTCGGGGCGGTCAGTTCTGTCAGGTGAGCTGAGAGTGCGAAGGGAGGGGAAGGGCAGGAAGGTAGCCAGAATTTTCTGCACTTCCTTCCCGCCTCGCCACTCTGTGCGACCATTTTGGGGCTGTCAGCTCTGTCAGGTAGGTTATGAGGTGGAATGTCAGGTGTTTCAACAGAGAATCAAGTGGGTTGTGAGGTGGGAGTGTCAGGTGATTTCAACAGAGACGCAAGTGGGTTAGTTAGGAGGACTGACAGGTTGTTTCAACAGAGTCTCAGGTGGGTTAGGAGGAGAGGAGGGCAGGGATCGAATTCCGAGTGGGTGGGATAGGGGAAAGGGGAGGAAGGATGAAGGAGGGATACTAGGCTGCATTGCTTGCTTCCTGACTCCCCCCATCCAGTCTTTGCACAACGGGATGCGCTTAGTAGCAGCAGCGGCAGGGCTTTTGAGGCGCCTCAAGAGGCGCCTCAAAAGTGCATTGCTTGCTTCCTGACTTTCCCCGTCCAGTGGTTTAGCAACAGCACTTAACGGGCTTTGCTCAACGGGCTGCACTTAACGGGCTTTGCTCAACGGGCTGCTATTAGCAACAGCAGCGGCAGGGCTTTTGAGGTGGTCCCGGAAATGAAACCGCATTGCTTGCTTCCTGACTTTCCCCGTCCAGTGGTTGCCCAACAGGCTGCGCTTAGCAACAGCACCGGCAGGGGAGGGGAGGGGGAGCGTGGTTTGCACCGGTATAATTCCCGCCTTCCTTGCTAGCTAGCTAGCTCCATATCTGCAACCTCCCTCCCACAGGTGGTCGCACAGTGGGCTGTATTTGCCAACAGCAGCGGACGACCAGACGGTGCATGTGCACGGCAGGAGGAAGGGGCGGGGGAGCGTGGTGTTTGTGGGGATGGAGGGGATGGGATGGGAGCTCATCATATCTTCCCCTTGCCCCGTGTGTGAAAACCCCCTCTCAGGTGGTCCCATAATGGACTGCATCTGGCAACAGCAGCGGACGACCAGACAGTGCATGTGCACGGCAGGAGAGAGCGGTGGAGATGGGGAGGGGGGATGGGAATTGGGTTAGGAGAATGTGTTCAGTTCCGAAGTCTTTTGAGTCGACTCAAAAGTCACATGGGAATTGGGTTAGGAGAATGTGTTCTGTTCCGAAGTCACCTCACTCTCGCCTTGCTACATGTTGCTCCCCTCCCCTCTCAGGTGGTCGCATAACGGATTGCATCTGGCAAAAGCAGCGGATGATCAGACAGTGCATGTGTACGGCAGGAGGGAGGGGCGGGGAAGGGATGCAGGGAGGTTGTGTGTGGTGTTAGTGCTCCGACTCATATCCCTCTCGCCTTGCTTCCATTCTCCCTCACTCCAGGTGGTCTCACAACGGCTTGCATTTGGCAACCGCAGCAGATGACCAGACGGTGCATGTGTACGGCAGGAGGGAGGGGCGGGGGAGCGTGGTGTTTGGGGAGATGGACGCTCCTAATGTGGAGAATTGGACTCTCATGCACTCTTTGAGAGGGCACACGGGGGAAGTGGTGAGTCCCTTTGCTAGCCCTGCTGCTGCCCTATCATACATTTGTGAGAATGAAGAGGTGAACTGGGGACGGCAGGCGGGAGGGGTGGGGGAGCGTGATGTTCGGGGAGATGGATGCACTGAATGTGGAGAACTGGACTCTCGTGCACTCGCTGCGAGGCCACACGGGGGAAGTGTTGAGTCCCTTTGCTAGCCCTGCTGCTGCCCTTGCAAGTGCCAGCCATTTGTAAGGTACAAGGGAGAGCGTGGTGTTTGGGGAGATGGGCGCTCCTAAAGTGGAAAACTGGACGCTCATGCACTCCCTGAGGGGACACACGGGGGAAGTGGTGGGTTCCTTCCCTCTTCCTCACACTCTCTCTTCGTCACACTCGCACACGCACTCCTGAATGCTGTGCAAGTGCCGGTCGTCTTGCACACGCACTCCCTTTTAGGGTGTTTGGGGAGATGGGCGCTCCTAACGTGGACACTCACTCACTCGCTGCGAGGCCACACAGGGGAAGTGGTGAGGTGAGCCCCTTCCCTCTGTTTCTCGCACCCTCACACATGTAAGTGTGAGAGGCCATTTGCAAGTGAGCCCCTTACATGTGCTCTTGTGTGCAAGTGGCGATAGTCGTGCATCTCCCCTTTGAGGCGCCTCACAAGTGGCGATAGTCGTGCATCTCCCCTTTGAGGCGCCTCACAAGTGGCGATAGTCGTGCATCTCCCCTTTGAGGCGCCTCACAAGTGGCGATAGTCGTGCATCTCCCCTTTGAGGCGCCTCACAAGTGGCGATAGTCGTGCATCTCCCCTTTGAGGCGCCTCACAAGTGGCGATAGTCGTGCATCTCCCCTTTGAGGCGCCTCACAAGTGGCGATAGTCGTGCATCTCCCCTTTGAGGCGCCTCACAAGTGGCGATAGTCGTGCATCTCCCCTCTCGGGTGTTTGGGGAGATGGACGCCCCTAACGTGGAGGACAACTGGACGCTCATGCACTCGCTGTGAGGCCACACGGGGGAAGTGGTGAGCCATGCCTCTCTTACACACTCTCTCTTCCTTGCACACTCACCACTCCCTTATGCTTGAGTGCAAGTGCTGGCCTTAACTCTTCCCGCTCTGTTGTTTGGGGAGATGGACGCCCCCAACGTGGAGAACTGGGCACTCATGCACTCGTTGCGAGGGCACACGGGGGAAGTGGTAATTTCTTTCTCTCCTCCACCCACACACTCAAGCACTCTCAAACCCTTATGCTGAGTGCAACCGACGGCAACCTTGGCTTTCTCTCCTCTGGTGTTTGGGAGAACTGGAGTCTCATGCATTCTCTGGGAGGCCACAAAGGGGAAGTGGTGAGCCTTAGCTTTCTCCCTCTTACTCTCTCGCACGCACACACACACGGGGGAAATTGTGTGCTCTCCCTCTCTCTGACACACATTATCTCACACTCACGCTCAAATCGCTCCTACCGTATTCCCCCCTTTCGCCGCCATTTGGCTGTTGCCTAACAGAACCCCTCTCCATCTATCACATCCTCGACTTTTGAGTTGACTCAAAAGTAAGCTTTTGAGTCGACTAAAAAAATTCCCCCCTTCTCGCCCCCATTTGGCTGTTGCCTAACAGAAACTCTCTATCCATCCCATCCTCGACTCTTGAGTTGACTCATTATCCCTCTCTCTACTATCTCCCCCACCCTCCCTCTCTGGTAGGTTGATGTGGATTGGTCGCCTGACGACTCGCTAATCGCCACCTGTAGCCTCGGCAGCACAGTGCGCATCAGAGGTGACCTTTGAGTCGACTCAAAAGTCATTAGTTGAACAGCAGAAGAACCAGTCATTCGAGTAAACTGTCCCCCGACCCTCCAAATTCTCCCTTGTAGGTCGATGTGGATTGGTCGCCTGACGACTCACTAGTCGCCACCTGTAGCCTCAGCCTATTAGTTGAACAGCAGAGGCATCATGTTCCTCCGTCCCTCGAGTAAACTGTCCCCCGTCCCTCCCCTTGACAGCAGAACCATGTTCCTTCCCTCCCATTCCACCTCCCCCAGGTGGATGTGGACTGGTCGCCTGATGACTCATTAATCGCCACCTGTAGCCACCTTTCGCCACCTCACTCTACCGCACTAAACCTCTCTCCATGTCTCTTCCCTCGTCATCTCTTCCTCCCCCAGGTCGATGTGGATTGGTCGCCTGATGACTCATTAGTCGCCACCTGTAGCCTAGACAGCACAGTGCGGATCTGGCAGCCAATGACGGGCCGCCAGGTGACGCTGCTGACGGGGCACAGCAGCTTTGGCAGCAGGGGCGCAATTTGAAGTCAATTAAAATCCAAAGAAACACCCGTGCTCTCTCTCCCTTGTAACCCCTCAACCGATCCCAACTCCAGGTTGATGTTGATTGGTCTCCGGATGACTCATTAATCGCCACCTGTAGCCTCGACAGCACGGTGCGGATCTGGCAGCCAATGACGGGGCGCCAGGCGGCGGTGCTGACGGGGCACAGCAGCTTCGTGAAGGGCGTCGCGTGGGACCCCATTGGCCGGTTCCTCGGCAGCCAATCAGACGACAAGAGCGTGATCGTGTGGCGGGTGAATGATTGGTCGGTGGCGAAGCGTGTGGAGGGACCCTACCCCAAGTCGGTGAGTCATGGGTGGGGTGGTTTGGGATTTATTCAGTACGCGTGGTCAACAAGTGAGGGACATTGTTTGGGCAACACCTTTCACTTCTCTGGTGATAAAAGTAGAGTTTCGAGACGTCTCAAAACTCTACTTTTATCACGTGACTCATCATGGTTGAGGTGGTTTGGGATTTATTCAGTACGCGTGAGGGGACATTGTTTGGGCAACACCTTTCACTTCCCTCTTGCTTACCACACCTCTCCCCTCCTCCCGTTCTCTTCTCCCCCCAAAATCCCCCTGACAGGTCGGAGCGACTTTCTTCCGCCGCCTCTCCTTCTCCCCATGCGGCTTCTACCTCACTACACTCCATGCATTTGCCTTCTTGGTCCACCCACGGAGTCACAGACACCTCCTTCCCCCTCACTCCCACCCTCCCTTGCTCCCCCCCACGTCAGGTCGGAGCGACTTTCTTTCGCCGCCTCTCCTTCTCCCCATGCGGATCCTACCTCACTACAGTCCACGCCTTTGCCGACCCAAACCACACGGCGGCAATCCTAGACCGCACGCTCGGGTGGGCTAAGAATCTGGACTACGTCGGGCATACCGGACCTGTCACTGTGGCTCGGTACAGCCCCGTGCTTTACCGAACCTCACTGGGGGAGGGGAGGCCTGGGAGGGGTGGTTCGGAGGGTGACGGAGGGAGGCTAGAAGGTTCTAAAAGTGAAAAAGAGGAGGAGGAAAATTCAAAGGAGGAAATGAGGGAAAAAGAGAAGTTTGAGAAGGGGAAGGAAGAAACTGGGGAAGGGGCTACTGGCGCTGCTGCTGCTGCTGGTGTAGCTGATGCTCCTGCTGCTGGCGCTGTTGTTGCTGTTGCTGCAGCTACTGCTGGTGATATTGCTGCACCTGGTGCTGATGCTACTGCTACTGCTTCTGCTGCTCGCCCTCCTCCTGCTGCTGCTGCTCCTGCTGTTGGTGCGGCTACTGCGGCAGCTGCTGCTTCTGCTGATGATGATGATGATGGTGCTGCTGCTACTGCTGCTGATGGCGCTGCTGCTACTGCTGCTGATGGCGCTGCTGCTACTGCTGCTGCTACCCCTGCTACCCCTCCTACTGGTGGTTCTGCTGCTGTGAACGACAATGACATTGGCAAACGCGGACTTGCAGCAGTGTCAGCTCTCTATCTTGTCAAAGAGAAGGCTTCTGAGCCGAATCAGAAGGAGTTGACTTTTGAGTCGACTCAAACGGACAATGATTGTGGCAAGCGAGGGCTTGCAGCAGTGTCAGCTCTCTATCTTGTCAAAGAGAAGGCATCTGAGCCGACTCAGAAGGAGAAGGCTCTTGAGGCGACTTTTGAGGCATCTCAAATCACAGATCAGGCGACTTTTGAGTCGACTCAGAAAGACAATGAATGCGGCAAACGGGGGCTTGCAGCAGTCTCAGCTCTCTATCTGGTCACAGAGAAAGGGAAGGGGGGGGGAGGAGAGGGTATGGGAGGAGGAGGAAAGGAAGGGAGTGGAGTATCGGGCTGGAAAGGCGAGGAGGGGAGGGAAGCTGGTGAAGGGACGAAGGGAGAGGAGGCGAGAGAGAGGGAGAGAGTGTGGGAGCAGGAGGTCAAGGAGAGGGAGCAGGAGAAGGAGAGAGTGAGGGTGGAGGAGGAGAGGAAGAGAGAGAGGGAGAGGGAGAGAGTGAGGGAGGAGGCGATGGGAATGATGAGGAGTGGGCCGTACGGGTGGATAGCACTGGGCGGCATGGATCGGAAGGTTACGCTTTGGCCCACGTACCGCCCTTCACCACTCTTCACCGCGAAGAATCTCTTCAAACAGCCTGTTTTGGATATTGCATGGTATAATGTGGTGTGGGATGGTATGGTATAGTATGGCGTGGTAGATATGCTATGCAATGGTATGTTATGGTGTGGTGTGGTGTGGTGTGGTTTGTTGTGGTGTGGTGTGGTGTGGTATGGTATGGTATGGTATGGTATGGTATGGTATGGTATGGTATGGTATGGTATGGTATGGTATGGTATGGTATGCACATGCTCTGTTTGAGACCTTCGTTCTCATCACCTTTCTCTCGTTTCCCTCTCTCCCCGGTTCCCTCTCTCCCCGGTTCCCTCTCTCCCCGGTTCCCTCTCTCCCCGGTTCCCTCTCTCCCCGGTTCCCTCTCTCCCCGGTTCCCTCTCTCCCCGGTTCCCTCTCTCCCCGGTTCCCTCTCCCCATGAAGGTCCCCATGCGGCCTTCACATGCTCTGCTGCTGCTCCAGGCCTCCTGAAAACAATCACCCCTTCATGTTCACCACCCACCCCTCTCCACCCCTTTCTCTTCCCCCCATGTAGGTCCCCATGCGGCCTTCACATGCTCTGCTGCTCTGCAGACGGCACTGTAGCAGCCTTCCTCTTCGACCAATCAGAGCTCGGCATCCCTCTGACGCGCCGCGAGATGGATGGCCGGATCGCCAGCCTGTACGGCCACCGCCACGTGGCGGCATCCCATTCGCTCGTGGAGGACCCGGAACTGCTGGCGCTCCAGCAACAGGTAGAGAGAGAAGAGGCCGCCGCCGCCGCTGCTGCTGCTGCTGCCGCCACGACTGCTGCAGCTGCTGCAGTGTTTGGGAATCCAAAAGTAAGAGGAGGTGGGTTAGCTGTTGGTGCTGTTGGTGCTGCTGCTGTGGAGATGAGTTCTGAAAGTGTGAGAAGACAGCAGGTGGTGGTGAGGAGGAAGGATGGACGGAAACGAATCACTCCTGTCGCGATCACTTCTGTTGTGACTGAACCACCTGTGCTTCCAAATAATGCAGCCAACACTCCTGTAATAGCAGCAGCTCCTGCTGTAGCAGCAGCAGCAGCAGCAGTGACTGAAGTGGCAGCAGTAGCAACAGCAGCACCACCACCACCACCAACACCACCAGCGCCAGCAGCTGCACCAGGAACAGCAGCAGCACCAGCACCAGCGACAGCAGCAGCTGTGGCAATGGTAACAGCAGCGACAGGGGTGGCAGCAGCACCAGCGAATGCAGCAGCAAAAACACCACCACCAGCAACAGAATCGGTAGTACCAACAGCAGCAGCTGCTCCAGCAGCAGTAGCAGTAGTGTTAAAAGCAAAAGCAACAGCACCAGCACCAGCAACAGCAGCAGCAGCAGCACCCGTACCAGCCACAACAACAGCAGCAGTGGCTGTAGCAAGGAAGGATACTGGTCTACAGCAGCAGCAACAGATCGGTAACCAGCGAATCGGTAACCAGCAGGTTGGTAACCAGCAGATTGGTAACCAGCAGATTGGTAACCAGCAGGTTGGTAACCAGCAGATTGGTAACCAGCAGATTGGTAACCAGCAGATTGGTAACCAGCAGGTTGGTAACCAGCAGATTGGTAACCAGCAGATTGGTAACCAGCAGATTGGTAACCAGCAGATTGGTAACCAGCAGATTGGTAACCAGCAGATTGGTAACCAGCAGATTGGTAACCAGCAGATTGGTAACCAGCAGATTGGTAACCAGCAAGAGAGAGAGACCAAGAGGCAAAAGCTGGGGCAGAGGCTTGGAGTGGAAGGAGCAGATGGGGGAGGGTTCAACGTGGGTTGGAGGCTGGGAGATGGGATAGGCTCGGAAAGAAATGGTTCGGATAGGCTTGGGTTGGGAGGAAGGGAGGAAGAAGCTTCCAGGTTGGCGAGAGAGGGACGGGCCTCAGGATTGGTGGTTAGAGTGGAAGTGAGGGGAGGGTATGGGGTAGGAGGGGATGGTTGGGGAAGAGGGGAGGGTGGTGGGGGAGGGGAGGGAGGAAGAGGGGGAGAGGGAGGGAGAGAGGGGGAAGGAGAAGAGAAGGTGGAGAGGGTGGTGTATGGGAGTGTGATTGCTGATGCCATGGCCTTGCAAAGAGCAGCTGCTGCTGGTGGGGGTGGCGGTGCTGCTGCCGCTGGTGCTGGCGAGCGGCTGTGGAATGGTGGGAGGAGGGTGGTTCTGGAAGCAAGAATGCAAGCAGACACAGGTGAGAGGGTGGTGGATAGGAGAAGGGAAGGGGGGGAGGGTGGTGGACAGGAGAAGGGAAGGGGGGGAGGGTGGTGGATAGGAGAAGGGAAGGTGGAGAGGGTGGTGGATAGGAGAAGGGAAGGGGGAGAGGGTAGTGTATGCGAGTGTGGTTGTTGATGCCATGGCCGTGTTGGTTTGACGTTTGAGAAATTTCAAGAGTCAAACCAGCAAGCAGACACAGGTGAGAGGATGGTGTATGCGAGTGTGGTTGCTCATGCCATGGCCTTACAGAGAGCTGCTGCTGCTACTGCTGGTGAGAGGGCGGCGTATGGGAGAAGGGAAGGTGGAGAGGGTGGCGTATGGGAGAAGGGAAGGTGGAGAGGGTGGCGTATGGGAGAAGGGAAGGTGGAGAGGGTGGCGTATGGGAGAAGGGAAGGTGGAGAGGGTGGCGTATGGGAGTGTGGAGCTGCTGCTGCTACCCATCTCTTCTCTTCCTTGCTTCACATCCCTCCCCCACACCAGATGCCTCTCCCTTTGACCTCCTCTGTTCGCTCAACAGCCATGTGCTGTGGCGGGACCGCCTCCCTTCCCCCGTCACTGCCATTGCCAACTGTTACCTACCCCACGGTGGGCCTTCTCCGCTCCTGCTCTCCCCACTGTCATCGCCAGCTGCCTCCCCATTTCCTCCCTTCTCTGTTCCCCTTCTCCGCCCCTGCTCTCCCCCACCAGGCACCTCCCCTTCTGACCTCCTTTGTTCCCTCAACGGCCATGTGCTGTGGCGGGACCGACTCCCTTCCCCCGTCACTGCCAACCCACTGTCTGCCATCTCTGTTCCCCTTCTCTCCCCCACCAGGTACCTCCCCCTCTGACCTGCTCTGTTCCCTCAACGGCCATGTGCTGTGGCGGACCGCCTCCCCTCCCTTTCCTCTTTCCCTCCCAACCTATCCCCCTTCCCCCTCCCCCGCCAGGCACCTCCCCCTCTGACCTGCTCTGTTCCCTCAACGGCCATGTGCTGTGGCGGGACCGCCTCCCTTCCCCCGTCACTGCCATTGCCGGCTGTCCAGTGCCCATCTCACCTTTCTTGCCTTTGCCCCTCCTTCCCTTCCCATCCCTCTCTTCCCCATCAAGGTGTGATGAGTTGGTTTTTGAGTCGACTCAAAAACCCCTCCGTCCCCTCCCATCCCTCTCTTCCCCATCCAGACACTACCCCTTCTGACCTGCTCTGTTCGCTCAACAGCCATGTGTTGCGGCAGAAACTTCCCCCTGTGACCTGCTCTGTTCGCTCAACGGTCACGTGCTGTGGCGGGACCGCCTGCCATCCCCCGTCACTGCTATTGCGGGTTGCCTCACCCTCTTTCTGCCCTTTCGTTCCCCCCTTTTGCTCACCAACCAGACGCCTTTCACTCTGACCTGCTCTGTTCGCTCAACGGCCATGTGCTGTGGCAGGACCGCCTCTCTTCTCCTTCCTCTTTCCCTCCCAACCTATCCCCCATCCCCCCCCCCAACCAGACGCCTCTCACTCTGACCTGCTCTGTTCCCTCAACGGTCACGTGCTGTGGCGGGACCGCCTGCCTTCCCCCGTCACTGCCATTGCGGGCTGTCCACTCATCCACTCCCTTTCTTTTCCCCTACTCTCTCTCCCACACACTAGGCACCTCGCCCGCTGACCTCCTCTGTTCGCTCAACGGTCATGTGCTGTGGCGGGACCGCCTGCCTTCCCCCGTCACTGCCATTGCCGGCTGTCCCCCTTCCGCTGCTGTCTCCTCCCATCCCTCTACCCTCCCATCTTCGCCCGGAGCCTCTCTCTGGGCTGTGGCCTGTGCTAATCACTCTCTGCTGGTGAGACTCCATACATGCTCTCTCGAATGGTCCTTGTATCACTTACATCTGCATCATTCTCCTGTCACTGCCATTGCGGGCTGTCCCCCTTCCACTGATTCTGCCTCCGCCCATCCCTCAACCCTCCCCCGGAGCCTCTCTCTGGACGGTGGCCTGTGTTAATCACTCTCTCTTGGTGAGACTCCATACATGCTCTCTCTCTATCTATCACTTACATCTGCATCATTCTCCCGTCACTGCCATTGCAGACTGTCCCCCTTCCACTGATTCTGCCTCCGCCCATCCCTCAACCCTCTCCCGGAGCCTCTCTCTGGGCCGTGGCCTGTGCTAACCACTCTCTCCTGGTGAGAGTCCCTCTCAGACTGTCCCCCTTCCGCCCCACTGCTGCCTCCGCCCATCCCTCAACCCTCTCACCCTCTCCCGGAGCCTCCCTCTGGGCCATGGCCTGTGCTAACCACTCTCTGCTGGTAAGGCTCCCTCTCCTTCCTGGTGAGGCTCCCTCTCCTTCCAGCAAAGAAGAACAGGTTCGACCTGGATCCAACAGGTGACTCGTCCTTAACAGGTATCTAATCTTAATCTTCTCTAGGCTGAGCTTAAGCTAGTAGAGATCGAATAGGTAAGAACTTGTTTATTCAAACCTGAGCGTACGCGCGTTTCGGCCGGTGGCCTTCCTGGTGAGGCTCCCTCTCCTTCCTGGTGAGACTCCCTCTCCTTCCTGGTGAGACTCCCTCTCCTTCCTGGTGAGACTCCCTCTCCTTCCTGGTGAGACTCCCTCTCCTTCCTGGTGAGACTCCCTCTCCTTCCTGGTGAGACTCCCTCTCCTTCCTGGTGAGACTCCCTCTCCTTCCTGGTGAGACTCCCTCTCCTTCCTGGTGAGACTCCCTCTCCTTCCTGGTGAGACTCCCTCTCCTTCCTGGTGAGACTCCCTCTCCTTCCTGGTGAGACTCCCTCTCAGACTGTCCCCCTTCCGCCCCCCTGCTGCCTCCTCCGTTCCCTCTACCCTCTCATCCTCCTCTCCCGGAGCCTCCCTCTGGGCCGTGGCCTGTGCTAATCACTCTCTTCTGGTGAGTCTCCATTCCACAATCCGTCTCTATGTAAGTCTTACCTCTGTATCCCTCCCCCGTCACTGCCATTGCATTGAGGTCGTTTTTGAGGGGCCTCAAAAACGATCTCTGTATCCCTTCCCCCGTCACTGCCATTGCGCCCTGTCCCCCTTCCACTGCCTCCCCCGTCACTGCCATTACCGGATCCGGCCCCACTGGTTATGTTGTTGGGGCATAGCTTGACTTTCATAGCGTTCCTTCCGTACCCTTTTCTACCGTTCCTCACCCCTCCCTATCGTTCCTGACCCCTCCCCACTGTTCCTCATCCCTTTTCACCGTTCCCAACACAGATCCTCTCTTCTGCCGGCCGACGCCTGCTTCCCGAAATCCTCCTCGATTCCCCCGCCGTCCTTCTCTCCTGGTTGAGATTAGTTTTGAGAATTCTCAAAACTTCTCTCCTGGTTGAGATTAGTTTTGAGAATTCTCAAAACTTCTCTCCTGGTTTGCTGCTGAACCTCAACCCTGTCATCCTTCTTCACCCCATCCAATTGTTCCTCACCCTTTTCAACCGTTCTGCACCCCTCCCCAACGCTCCCAAGACAGATATTCTCTTCTGCCGGCCGACGCCTGCTTCCTGAAATCCTCCTCGATTCCCCCGCCGTCCTTCTCTCCTGGTCCGCCGCCGAACCTGAACATCCATCTCGATTCGGCACCGAGCCTCCGTCTTGGTCCGGCGCCGAGCCTAAGAACCAGGCCTGGTTCGGAGTATCTAGAAACCAACGGCTCGTGTTTAAGAGTCCACTGGAGCAGCTATGGGATCGGCAAGGGGAAGGGGGGATTGGGACGTGGGGAGGGCGAGAAGAGGAGGGGAGTGGGGAAGGAGGAGGGAATGGGGAAGGAGGAGGGAGTGGGGGGCGGGGAGGGCGAGGGGAAGGGGGGATGGTGGGGCCGATGCTGCTGGTGGTGACGAGGGGAGGGGGAGTGCGCGTGTGGGACATGGGGCGGCTACAGCTGCTAGTGGATGCTGATATGGGCGCACTGGGAGCAGAGGCAGCAGAAGGTGAGAAGGGTTGCTTGCTTGCCCTTAGCATCAATTGCCATGCCATTGGGGGAGTGTGCGTGTGGGGTATGGGGAGGCTGCAACAGCTGGTGGATGGTGATATGGGCGCACTGGGCTCTGAGGCAACAGCAGGTGAGCGAGAGAGGGTGGTTTATGCACCTCTGTTCACACCCCTATCCTTCCCTTTCCCCCTTTCCTGTCAGGCACGCTCTGCATGGCATCAGCTCGCCTCCTCCCTCCATGCACTCCCCTCATCACCCTACTCTCTGGAAGGTCCTTCCTCCTCCACCCCTCACTGCACGCCTGGATGCCTCTCTCTCCCACCTTTCTGTACCTCCTTCTTTGATTCATGCAGACTTTGCCTTCTCCTTACCGTTTATCCCCTCCAGGCACACTACGCATGGCATCAGCTCGTCTCCTCCCCCCATGCACCCCTGTGGTAACCCTTCTCTCCGGAAGGTCCTTCCTCCTCCACCCCTCCCTGCACGCCTGGTTGCCCCAATCAATCTCCCTACCAACTTCCCTTTTAACCCTTTCCTGCCAGGCACGCTGCACATGGCATCAGCTCGCCTCCTCCCCCCGTGCACTCCTCTCATCACCCTACTCTCTGGAAACTCCTTCCTCCTCCACCCCTCCCTGCACGCCTGGATTCCCCTCCCTCCCCTTCCTCTACCTCCTTCCTTGATTCATACAGACTTTTGCCTCCCCATCCCCCCTGCATCCCACCAGGCACACTGCGCATAGCATCAGCGCGTCTCCTCCCTCCGTGCACCCCTGCGGTAACTTTTCTCTCCGGAAGGTCCTTCCTCCTCCACCCCTCCCTTCACGACTGGATGCCTCTCTCCCTCTCTCCCATTTCTCTACCTCCTTCCTCAATTCCTGTGGACTTTGCCTCCCCTTTCCGCCCCCCGTTCCCCCTTATCTGCACCAGGCACACTACGCGTAGCCTCAGCGCGCCTCCTCCCCCCGTGCACCCCTCTCATCACCCTACTCTCTGGAAAGTCCTTCCTCCTCCACCCCTCCCTTCACGCCTGGATGCCTCTCTCTCGCCCTCACCCCTCCTCGCGCCTCTCGTCCAATTGGAGGCCGCCACCTGGCGCGTTTCGAGCTGGGAGCTTTCGAGGTGCCAGCAGGGATGGGGCTGCTGGTGGTGCTGGTGCTTCGTCTTTCCTTTCAAGGTAGTCTGGTGCTGGTGGTGCAAGTGGTGCTAGTGGTGCTGGTGCTGCTGTTGCTGCTGCTGGTGATGGTGATGCTGGTGTTGATGTGATGCTTCCCCCCCCCGTCTTTTTTTTTCTGTATCTTTTTTTCTCTCTCAGTGTTTTTCTTGTTCCCCTCTACAAGTTTCCAGATGTCTCAAAACCTCTTCATGTTTCCTTCCTCTGTCTGTCCCTCTCTGTCGTCCGCTCCACACTCGCTTCTATCTCCTTCTCTCTCCTCTCTCTTCCACTTTCAAAATCAGGCAGGCACCTGGGGAGGAGGCGCATGCCACAAGAGCCCACCTGGAAAACGCCCTGGCGGCCTGCCGTCTGTTGAATTCACCTGACGAGTTCAGGAGGCTCCTGGCAGAATACGTGCGTCTGCTCACCAAGTGAGTGGCTGAACCCTTCAGATTTAACGGCGATATAGAGTGTACGCCAGTAGCTATAGTTTTTAGGTGAGTACAAATTCCGCTCCTGGTGGAATACGTGCGTCTGCCCACCAAGTGAGCTGCTGAACCCTTCAGATTTCTAAGTGCGATTTATTGTGTATCGGAGTGGCTATAGCTGTCTTGGATCTTGCTGCCTTGGTTAGAACCTAAGATGGAATTGAAGCATCAATGGCGGCACCCACGCTTGTCAGGGAAAGTGACGAGGGCTGTATATGTTTGTTGAGAATTCTCAGGTGAGTTTTGAGTCGACTCAAAACTCGTCAGGGAAGGTGACGTGGGCTGCAAATGTTTTTTGAGAATTCTAAAAAAACAGATTAACTCCAAGGGCGATATATGTAGAGCAACTGCCTTGGGATCGGCTATATAGCTGTCTTGGCAGTCGATTCCTTGGTTGGAACCTAAGATGGAATTGAAGCATCAATGGCGACACCCACGCTCACTTGTCAGGGAAGGTGACGAGGGTCGGCTGAGGGGCATTTGCCAGGAGTTGGTATGCTTGTATCGAGGTTCGAGTGCTTGTATTGAGTGGGCTTGTACAAGGCAAACAAGTTTTGATCCCGCTCTCATCTGTTTTATTCTTTCCTTGCCAGGGAGGGTGATGAGGGCCGGCTGAGGAAAGTGTGCCAGAAGCTGGTGTGCTTGTATCGAGATTGCTTGTATAGAGGGTGCTTGTACAAAGCAGAATGGTTTTTCTCCCTCTCTCATCTGTTCCATTCTTTCCTTGCCAGGGAGGGTGACGAAGGTCGGCTGAGGGGAGGAGGTGTGCGTGTGCTTGTATCGAGAGTGCTTGTACAGAGTGGGTTTGTACAAATACGAATGGTTCATCTCCAACTCTCAACTGTTTATCTCCAACTCTCATCTGTTTCATTCTTTCATTGCCAGGGAGGGGGATGAGGGTCGGCTGAGGGAGGTGTGCCAGGAGCTGCTAGGGCCTATGGACGCTGGGGAACATGCGGTTACCACAGGCGCGGGCGTGGTTACCGATAACCACGCGGGCACGGTTATTCAGCGCAATGCTCAAGTTGATGAGGTGAGCGATTCGGGCTCTTATGCATTACCTGCAGGTTTTTGTTGGGGCCAGCTTGGGGTTTAGGGGTTGTTGGCTAGTACATATGGGCTTGGTGATATTGAGTGTTGGTGAATGTACAGCACGCACTCATCATATGGGCATGTTATGTATTTTAGAGAGAGAAAAAAATCTAAATAATGTGTTGCTCTTGTGAAGAAGTATTTATTTAGTTTGTGCTGCACTTACCAGCGTTGGTCTTTCCTACTTCCTTGGCTTGCGTTAACAGGAGTTGAGAAGAAAGCGTGGCCTTCTACGAACTGTAGTATTCCCAGCCTTACTCTCGACAAAAAGGATGCAAAGGGTGCTGTTAGAGTACATGGATTTAGTGAAGGAAGCGGAGGCAGGATGAACCATGACAGATGGTGATGTACTACAAATGGATATTATATCTCAATAACTGGTTGGCACTTAGGAAAGCTTTGCAGAAGTGTACTTCCCAGCCGCAACAAACGGGGAAACCGTGCTCCCTGGTCACCGACCGACGACGGGCTAATTTCGTCACCTGTTTCGCAGATTCCAGCTCGCCGCACGATGGGACCTCGCTGAGCTCGCAGACGGCCGATGGTCGCAATCAGTTTCGCCTGGCGACGTTTTCCAACCTCCGCCGTCAGGACAGTAGTCGTTACTCCCCCGACCACTTGCCTAGTTCTCGCGGAAACCCCGATCCCTCCACAAATTTCGCCCTCCGGACGCGGCGCGTTGGACGGAGGTGCATTGGCGGCTCGGTATTGCAAATTGGCGAGGGAATTTTTTGGGGGACGGCACATTCCGTTTTACAAGCTCCTTCGCCGCTCCCAATCCAAACCAGAATCACCAACAATTCCCCCTCTCCGTCAAACCGACAAGCCTGTCCCAGTTCAAAGTTGGGAACCCCATCCCATCCCAACCTAACAACCGCCCCCGTCGGAACCTTGTTTCCCTTATAAAAGCGCCTTGATCTCTTATCATCGAAGTATAATCTAGCCGTTAACAGCATAGCCTCACACACTCATCTACCCTCTTGTTGTAGTATCCTGCTGAAGTTACCTTTTCGCAGCTAAGAAACTAGCTTCTCAACTTGAGAAACCCGATCGCTCCCTACTGTGATCTCGGCCTTCGACTCTTCAATCTCACAATGCCGACTTCTGCTTTCCTCGCAAGGCCGGCCTGGCGCCTCGTCATTGCGGCTGTCATCTTATCGTTCGTCGTCTCAGCAGCATGGGCGGCGCCTCTAACGGGGGGCAAAAATCCCAAGCAGACGGTTCCGCTGCCGCCATTCTACGAAGAGGCGCTTCAGAAGCTCAACGCGTCGGGATTCACGAGCTTCGTGTCGCTCTTCACCATGTATGGTACGTACTGAGTCGCATCGTGGGAGCGGGCAAAATCGGGACATAATATGGGACTCCTCACCACGAGGAGGTGCAAGGTGCGTATTGAGTCGACTCAAAAGTCACCTCGGACGAAATCGGGAAACGATTCGGGACTCCTCGCCATGTATGGTGCAAACGTACTCATTCCCGCGTGTACTTGAACTTGATCTGACACGCTCCAAAACATTATATGGGGATCTTTTCCTTATATGGTCATATGGGGTACAAAGTGGGGTTCTTATAATATGGGGAACAAATGCCCGCGTTTCCTCGTTACGAATTCCACTTCATCGTCGAGCGTTTCCTGTCCCGCATTCACCATCATCCATCTGTTGATCACCCTCTTGCCGTAACCTTTTTTTTATTATAAGAAATCAATATCTCTTTCATCCCGTCATGTTTATCGGTCAACCGTTACGTACTCGCCCACAAACCCCCTCGCCGCTCTACACCCTCCTCCGCGCTCACCACTCTTCCTCCCACTGCCGTTTGCCTTCCGTTATTCCCCCTCTGCCCAATTCCTCTCCTCACCCCGCGCAGGCAAAACAAAGCAGATGAGTGACTTTGTTACGAAGAACTCTGTGACCGTGCTTGTACCCACTAACGACGCCATCACGAAAGCGAATTTGACGGGTTACCCTATGACGAAACTGCTTACGATCGTCGCCTTCCAAGTCATCAAGGGCGTGAAGACGCGCGCCGAGTTACAAATGTTACCACCTGGTACCCCAGTGGTTACCATTTCGATGGACGCGAAGAAGAAGCCCCTCTTTCTGACGAAGGTTTCGCCTGCGTCGCCGAAGAAGCGGGTTTCCCTACGCGGGAAGGCTGGCCCTAATAAGAGTGTGGTGACTATAATGGGTCCAGATTTCTACATCAAGGTGGGTAAACTTTCGGTTCACACTACGAACAACGTGGTGCTGCCGGAGGGATATTAGAGAATATATAGATTCTACAGCTCACAGTGTAGTGTACATGATACACTGTGGCTGAAACGAGGTCGCGAAACAGGGTCGCGACTATACAGCGTTGGGAGGCGCCATGACCCAGCTTATAGCTAGGATAAGCTCTGTTAGGTGCTACGTTGCACCTTGAAACAGGAGCAAGCGTGGCCATGCATGCTTGTGTGCATGAGCCATGCCACATACACTGATTTCTGCTTCCATACTTGTTCCCTAACATTCACTATATAAACAGACTATACTTATTATTGTGGCCTTGCCTGAAGCACTTTAGCAGGTAAAAGATCTGGAGTGCCTTCCACCTATGGCTTGTTGAGGTGAAACAGATCCCAAGAGCTTTTCTCAGCCCAACAATGCTGAAACACAAGATCTTACAAGACACAAGTAGTTCCCGAAACCCTACCAACTGTTGTGACAACAATTCCTGGAAGTGCACGAGGCCCACGATCAGAGAAATCACGTTTTAACACATAGGAGACATCAAAAGAGCAGTGTTACCGTACTACATTTGGCTGGCACTCACTACTAGGTAGACTCGGCCCTACTGTAGATTCCTGGTTATGTCAACTTGACCATCCTGTACATTTGGCCCTACTGTATGCTGCATCTTGAACCTTGTGAAGCCTGTGTAACATTTCCAAACGCACTCCTTTCAATCAGATCCATGTCCGCTTCTGGATTAAAAGGTGAAAAAGAGGGAGGTTTACAAAGGGAAGGGTACGGAGGGGTACAGTGAAAACGAGGTGGTGTGGTGAGGGACACATGAGATTGTGGATTCACGAGATACCGGTACGTGAATTGGCATGGGGCAAGAGGACAAGGCAGACCCAGGCAGATTTGGGAAGATTCGATAAGTCCTCCCCTCTTCCCCGCAGCTTTCCCCAACCCACCCGAGAATTCCCTTTCAAGGATCTGAATGTCTCGAGGCGACCGTGGAGTCTTGCAGAGAAATGTCTGTAAGGGGTGTAGGGTGTACAAGTGAAGAGTGTTGAGGAATGGGACATGATGAGGTCCTAGTGGGTATGGGGCATGGAGTAAGGGAAATGTTTGGTAGCGGGTTCAGAGTGAAGGGTATAGGGGTCTGGTGGAATCAGCTATGGAGTATAAGGAATGGTTGGTAGGGGGTTTAAGATATATATTATCATGGTGAATTGTTGGTAGACGTTTAAATATATCTCATCATGGTGAATGGTCGGTAAGGGGTACGGGCTGTGGTGGAGTGGGGTATGGAGTATGAGAAATGACTGGTGATGGTTGGTTGGCATGTACTTTGGAATCGACATAGTAGGGGTATGGTGGGTATGGTGCATGGTGGACGGTGCGTTTGAGGTAGGGATAAGGGATATGGGTTACAACACTGTCACACGGCAACAAGCATAGCCAACTGAAACACCTCACTCGGCCATGCTTCACCGCGCAGCACCGCACTGAGAGCCCACTTGGAGAATGGTGCAGTAGACCCACCAAGCTGTCTGTCCCAATGAGTTGGCGATGAGACAATGCATACAGTACCGTGCATCACCGTGCAGCACCACTCACATGCACAAAGCACACCGCATTATACCGCGCCATACCTCGAAGCACCGCACTGGGATCCCACCTGGCGAATGGTGCAGTTGTCTGCTGAACTGTCGCCTCCCTGGGGCCACAAAGTGAGGAATGACAAAGACGGGGTGGAAAGGAAATAGAGGGCGGAATGTGGGAGGGGGAAGGAAGGGGGGATGAGAGGGGGGTACGGGGCGATGGGGTTGTGTGCTGTTGTTGACTGGGCTTTCGCCTTCTTGGGGTCACAAAATTAGGAATGGCAAAGATGAGGTGGAAAGGAGATAGAGGGCGGAATGAGGGAGGGGGAAGGGGGAAGGAAGGCGGGATGAGAGGGGGTACGGGGCGATGGGGTTGTGTGCTGTTGACTGGGCTTTCGCCTTCTTGGGGTCACAAAATTAGGAATGGCAAAGATGAGATGGAAAGGAGATAGAGGGCGGAATGAGGGAGCGGGAAGGGGGAAGGAAGGCGGGATGAGAGGGGGTACGGGGCGATGGGGTTGTGTGCTGTTGACTGGGCTTTCGTCTTCTTGGGGTCACAAAGTGAGGAATGGCAAAGATGAGGTGGAAAGGAAATAGAAGGGGGGAATGAAGGGGGGGGGGGGAGGGGGGGAGAAGAGGGGGGTACAGGGTGATGAGGTTGTGTGCTGGGCTGTCGCCTCCTTAGGGTTACAAAGCGATGAATGGCAAAGAAGAGGTGGAAAAAGGGAAGTGAGGGGAATGGAGGAGGGTTTAGGACGAGGAGGAGGAGAAGGGGTCAGGGGAGGAAAAGGGGAAGGGGTGATGAGTGATTGCATGCTGCACTGGGCTGTTACCTCCCTGTGGTCACGAATGGCAAGGACGGGGCGAAAGGGAGACACGTGGAATGTCGACGGCGCAGAGGGGAGAAAGAGGGGGGAGGAAAGGGGGAAGGGGTGATGAGAGGTTGCATGCTGCACTGGGCTGTTACCTCCCTGTGGTCAGGAAAGGGAGAAAGAGGGCGAAAGGGAGACAATGAAAAAGACGGGTGGAAAAAGGGAAGTGAGGGCAATGGAGGCGGGGTTGAGAGGAGTTGGAGGAGAAGGGGTCAGGGGAGGAGGTGGGGAAGGGGTGATGAGAGGTTGCATGCTGCACTGGGCTGTTACCTCCCTGTGGTCACGAATGGCAAGGACGGGGTGAAAGGGAGACACGTGGAATGTCGAGGGGGAAGAGGGGAGAAAGAAGGGGGGGAAAGGGGGGGGAGGGGGGGGGGGGAAGGGTTGGAAGGTAGTGAGCCGTGTGGGGAAAGGGGGAAGGGGAGAAACGCATGCCATACTTTAGAAAAATACGGAGAAGACGTAGCATGTCGCACTCGCATGTCACCTTATTTCGAGGAACGATTCGGTCGAACTCGAAGCAGAATGGGCCGTCGCACGAGTCGAAAGCGCGAAAGACTACATTTCCCTCGTTATCCCGGCGCCATCGATCCGGGTCGCGGCCTTTAACTACGTCCGCCTTATTCCAGCACGCGTCTTTCACTTCGCGAGAGAATTTCTTCGGCATAGACCGCTTCCGCGACGGCCGGTTCAGATCGGTATTCATCGGTTTAGGATCCCGTTCGCCTGACGGCTCCGGTGGGCTCGACATGGACCGAGGCTGTCATCCACGTCCGATTTTCCCGAGCCTGACTGATCCGTCCAACCCTGTCGTCATCGAGGTCAAGGCTGTTTCTGATTACGGAAGAGGGCGTGTCTCTTTTTTGGTTTTATGGATTTTGACGGACTGTCCGCTTGTATGTAAACGGACAGTTGCAATTGCGAGAATCGGACCGTCCGATTCAAAAATTCGAAACATTGGACAGTCCGAAGGCAAAAGCATCACTTTTCCGAGTGCATCAGATTCCCGAAGTACTGTAGCATCGCCAGCCATCGTACACTTACGTAACCCCAGTCACACCCCATCGCCAACATCGCATAGCCAGGTCGCGGCTCGATTCTGGATCTGAGACTCTTGTGTCTCTGGAGCAGCAGCATGCGGATCATGTTGGGTAGAGGTACTAGGGACGGAGGTGTTGGGTGTGGTGTTTGCCGGTCCAGAGTTCTCATTTCCGCTAGACTGCTCCATTGCGTGCTGATTGTGGTGGTTCGGTTCGAAGTGGAAGCGTTTTTGTAGTGTAGCAGGGGTAGTGGGGGTGTGTATGGTTCAATGTTCAGTCTGGCGCCGCGCGCCAAAAATTTTGTTGGAGATGCGGCTCGGTGTATTTTTTTCGGGTTTTTCGTGCACCAATCAGATGTCAGAGAAGGAGTTCCGTCCGTTTGCTTATCGAACTGACAAATGTTCACATTGTGAACCGTTGCTTGGAGGGAAAAGTGATGTGACGGTTCGAACTGTGGGCGAAATCGCGAAGCCTATGGCGAAAAAATCGCGAATAAGTGCGAAGTAGGTAACCTTTTCGCGAGCCGGACGATCCACGGTTCGAACCGTCACTGTAAAAAAAGAGACACGCTCTTACTCTGGAGAATAGACCCAAGTGTGAATTTGTCCCAAGTCACACGGGCGGGGACAGGAATTCCTGTCTGAAACATTTCCAAGTTTCTAGAACTTTTGTTTCCGGCTTTATTGCGCGACCCGACGCTTTTTGAATTTGTGTCAATCCTGTCGACCACTCGTGCACCACGTAAGCACTAATCTGAATTCCATAAATCCGATCGACCCTACAAAAGTTTACGCGGCATAGGTAAACTGTTTCTCGGTTGGTTTTAGTTGTGTAACTACAGTACGTAACTTTCTCAAACATTTTTAGGCTAGCTCCGAATATATTTCAGCGGACAAGCGAGTCGGCCCGGGGGAGCTTGCTGCCCGCGGGCAAAAAAATAAAACCCATTTGGGCATGCATCTGGTCAGGGAGGCATCAACCCTGAACAGAGAGAGGCATGGATTTAGGGTTGATGCCTCCCTAGAATGGCATGCCATCCGATAGGGTTTTAGATTTTCCTGCCCGGGGCAGCATGTCGTCAAGTCGTCAATGAGTCGTCAGGCTTGACGACTCATTTCCGCTGGGATATTCAGACACGCGTAATCATTGTATGCAGATCGCGACAGAATCTACCACACACCAACCTACGAAATTCGAGGAACCCTATAGCAGTTGTGCTTGTGACAGAGTGACCACTTCGTGTTTGCAAGTGTAGAAAAATGGTCGGTCGATCGGATTTAGGGAAGTAGTGCTGACGTGTCGCACGAGTGGTCGACAGGATTGACACAAATTCGAGAACCGTCGGGTCGCGCAATAAAGCCTTTGTTTCCCCATTTCGCAAACTCGTTTCTGGGTGAGCAGCGAATGTTTCTGGGAGATTTTGCTCTGTTGTGCTGTCGCACAAGGTCGTGCGGACTGAAACGAGTCGTTTGCGAAAACCACTTATGTATTCTTGTGACACTCGTGAGGCTAGAGGATCCTCTGGTGTCAGCACCGAACCTGGAGGTTCAAGTTTCCGGATTCCTGCCTGCAACGCACGCGAGAACCAGCCGAAGCTTGTAAATCCGAACCAAGCTGACTGGCCTGGGGAGCCAGCAGGGAGGACCTTGTCCTGGTCAAGTTGTGGCTAGGTTCGATCTCTTATTCCACTAGACCACGTCGTAAACCACAAAAACTCTCAGAACCGAACAAACATATCCTCGAGCAGCCGAAGCACTTCAAAGAAAGAGCGGCTAGCAGGGGCGATTAGCAAGGGCGTCACGCAGAAGCTACTTCGTGTAAAAGAACGAGGAATGTGTGCACTAGGAAACAGGTGGGTACAAGTAGGAAAACTTAAAAGTGTTGTACCCCATATTGTCTACCCCACTACAGCCTACACAGACTATAGCATATAAGTTTGACACACCCCCATAGGCAAAGTGGGGGAGAACAAGAGGTCACAAGACCAGTCAAGCAAAGCACAGTAAGCTCAGGGTGGATCACAATGTCACCACACATTCCGAGCACAAGTTCAAGGCCACAAGGCCAGTTCACATGCAAGATCATATATAAAGGCAAACAAGCAAGTGCAGGTATAGATAGATCACAGTACAAGAAAGGTCAAGAAGTGAGCAAGTGAGGCCAAGTAGGCACAAGACCTAGCATCGTACAACAGCGCTGATGATCACAAGGCGGAAGTGCCTTGGTAAAGATATCAGCAGTGTTGGCCTGAGAGGCCACGTAAGCAAGGCGCAGCTGACCACGCTGCTGCAGCTCACGAGCAAGGAAGTAGCGAAGAGAAATGTGCTTCGTTCTGTGCTCCAGTCTGTGCTCCCGACACAAGGCCAGCATGGCCTTGTTGTCTACGTACAGAACTGGAGGAGAACGAGGCGGCTCTCCTAGGTCAGTCAGCAGGTAGGTGAGCTAGCGTAGCTCCTGTGCAGCCATGGCCCCCGCGTAGATCTCAGCCTCACAGCTAGAGCCGAGAACAGAAGACGAGCGGGTAGACCGCCACGAAACAGAGCCGGAACCAAGGCTGAAGGTGTAACCCTGTGACGACCGCTGCGTAGCCTGGTCGTCAGCCCAAGAAGCGTCTGCGTGACCTGTGAGGACCACTGAACGCCGCCCTCCAAGCACTAGCCCCATGCCCGACGTACTGCACAAGTAGCGCAACGCCCTCTTCGCTGCAGCCATGTGCTCTAGTCGGTGTCTCCCAGGAGCAACATAGCGTGCCAAGATGCTAAGAGGGTATGCAAGGTCAGGTCGAGTGCAGGTCATCAGGTACATGAGGCAGCCAACAAGCTCTGGGTACAGGCCACTCGGCTCTACGGACTCATCCGAAGGCAGAGCTGAGAGCGAATGGCGAGTAGACAGAGGAGTGGCCTGAGGCGAGGAGTACGTGAAGTCGAAGCGCTGAAGGACCTGCTGCACCATGTGTGACTGAGTCAGGGTAATGGTGCGCTGTGCTCTGTCCCGGGTGATCTGCAAGCCAAGGTAGCTGCGCAGTTCACCCAGGTCTGTGCATGTGTGTCTCTTCTGCAGCTCGGACTTCACGTGGGCGAGTCCAGCAGTGTCAGCAGTAGCAAAGACCAAGTCGTCGACGTACACGAGGATGTAGAACGGCGGCAAAGAGGTGTCGGTGCGCAGAAACAGGGACGGGTCGGCAGTAGAAGGAGCAAACCCAAGAGCCGCAAGTGTAGTCCTCAGTGTGTCGTGCCACTCACGGGGCGCCTGGCGGAGACCGTAGACTGGCCGCCGGAGGCTCCACTGGGTACCAGGAGGAAACGACCCAGTGAAACCAGGTGGGCGGCGCAGCCAAATCTCCTCGTGCAGGCTGCCCTGCAAGAAAGCTGTGCTGAAGTCAAGAGAGTGAAGCTCGTAGTCGCGCTGAGCGGCGATGTGCAGCAGCACCCGAAGAGTGGTCATCTTCGGGGTGGGAGAGAAGGTCTGAAAGTAGTCAACTCCCTGCCGCTGACTGAAGCCTCGAGCCACGTAACGCGCCTTGAAGACAGGCGGAGAACCCGGCGGCCGCTTCACCCTGAAAATCCACATGCCACTGACGATGTTCGCCCCAGGTGGGGGAACCTCGTCGACGTAGGTGCCTGTGGACTTCCAGGAAGCCATCTCTGCGTCCATGGCTGACTGCCACTGTGAGGAGTAGGGACCCTCGATCGCCTCAGCGTACGATCGAGGAGTCGGGATGTCTGGTGCATCCGGGTCTCCCTCAGGGGCAATCAGCGTGGACACGAGATGAGGCAAAGCAGCAGCAAAACACTGGAACTCCTCCTGCCTGTCCTCAAGGACGTCCGTGCTAAGAGCACACTCACCCCGGACGGACGGAGGACAGACAGACTCAGACTCAGCAACCAGACTAGCGGCGTAGTCTAGACGACAGCGCGCAGCAAAGTCGACAAGCTCAGCAACTAAGGCAGACGCAGCAGTGGACTCAAAGGAAGGGCCAGTGACAACAGTAGCCAGGAGACGCGTGACAGTAGGACTGGCAGCACGAAGAGAGTCAGACTCCGGGTCAGCAAGAACAGGAAGAGAGGACTCTGGAGGAGACGGCAACGGGACACGCAGAGGAGCAGTGGAAGGACGCAATGCCATCTGATTTGTGCCTGGGATCGCAGGAGGACGCGGACGCGGAACACGACTACTAGTGCGAGCAGCACGAACAGGCGACGCAGGACGAGACGCAGGCTCACGACGCTCAGCAAGACCTCCAGTAGGACCAGTGTAGGGAGAAGGAGCAGGCAGGGGGGAGGCGGGCTGTAACTGTGACTGCGACTGGACAGGCGGTGGACACTCTAAGGGAGGAGCAGGACCAGTAGAAGGCGGAAGACCAAGAACCTGCTCAAGGAGCGGAACGAAGTACGGCCGCGGCCGCGCAGCGCCTCCAGAACCAGCAGGGACAGCACCAGTACCCCCAGCGGCAGCACCAGCGCCAGCAGCACCTCCAGCTCCAACAGCGCCAACTCCAGCACCCTCAGAAGCACCAGCGCCAGCAGCACCTCCAGCGCCAACACCCCCAGCAGCTCCAGCTCCAGCAGCTCCAGCAGCTCCAGCTCCAGCAGCTCCAGCAGCACCAACTCCAGCAGGACCGCCAGCTCCAGTACCGCCAGCAGCTCCAGCACCAGGAGCACCTCCA